ATCTAATTTATAATAAAGAACCAATTAAAATTTCTTAATAAAAACCAATTAGATTCTTAATAATCATTGTTCTTTGTTAAATACTATCATCATGTGAGAGAAATATTATAATTATAGATAAATATTGAGCTCCTCATGATAATAACGCTATACTCATCTTCCTGATCTTTTGTATAAACATGTCAACAAATAGCTAAATAATATATAACATGTCACAATGGTGACAACATAAATATAATTATTTTTTATTGATTAATAAGAACAAGTAATACAAAAAAAATTAGTTTATCATTTTATAATAAAAATAAGTAATATAGACTCTATTCTTAATTGTTAAAGAAAAAAATTATTATTTTGAATACTAATTAAAATTATATTATATATTAAATTGATTATCCAAAATTATATTATAATAATCATCTAATTTTTTAAATATTGTTATAAATGAGTTTATTTATATATAGTTAATTAATAAATAAATAATATACTAAAATATTATTTTAAATTATAAGTATTTTATTTTTTTAGATTTTTAGACTTAATTTAACAAAGTTTTTCTAATTTTTAATTATAAAAAATTAATTAGCTTATTTTGCAATTAGAAAAACTTTTCAAATTAAATCTAAAAAATCTAAAAAAAATATAATAAAATTAAAAATTTTTATATAAAAAAAATCTGTATTTTATTATATTTTATTATAAATTTTGATATTGTTATATACTTTTTAATTATTATTATATTAATTTTTTTATAAGAATTAAATTTATTAATATATAATAATTAATTAATAAATTATAATTTATTATTTTTAAAAAAGTAAAATTTAATAACTATAAAAAGGCATAATATATTTTAATTAAAATAAATATATTTATAATAATTATATTTTAATTAACTAATTAGAATTTGAATTAGAATTAGAATTAAAAGTGAAATTCTAAATATAATTAAATTTCTTTATACTTGCACCTATTTATAATTATATTTTCTATAATTATTTTATTTTGCTTTTCTATTTATATATAAAAATAATAAAAAAATTTATTTTATAATTATATTCTTTTTATAATTATTTAACTTTGCTTTTTGAAAATGATGACTATAAAAAGATTTAATTATATATAATTAATTAATATTGAAGTTATTATATATAACAATTATTATAATTAAATTAATATTAACATTTTTTATTATTTAATATAATAAATAATATAATAGCTTTCAAAATAAATACATCACTTTCAAAATTTAGTAAATATATTTTTGTATTTAGTTCAAAATTTTCTAATTGCAAAATAAGTATAAAATTTTTAATTATAAATGCAAAAATACATATTAAAATATATATTGTGGTTTTATTTTGATAAAAAATAAAATGGTTGATGAAAATAAAATTTTGAAAGTAATGCATTTTCACTAAAATTATTAGGTCTTTTCTGATCATCCAAAATTAAACTAACTATATCGATATGAGCAGCGGAAAATCTGTGTTATTTGATGATATCATTATGCGCTGCGGAAAAACATCTTCAAAACCATGCAAAAAATAAACTTAAACACTGTGTCTCAAGAATCACTTTTGTCTCGAGAAGTTTCTATACATGAGCAGAACCCAGTTGCAAAAGTTCACTGAATTTCCAATTCGTCCAGGGTATGGAAAGGCTGGACGCTCGATTAAAGTCGGAACTAATTTTTATGAGGTTGACATTCCTGGTATTTGTCTTTCTTTTTTGCCTCGTAAGCTTTTAGTTGCGTATATATATAATCCATATACAAACTACCCGGTTCTTAGATTCAAACGTGTATCATTATGATATCGACATTCAACCCGAGGTTCCATCTGGTTTGAGCAAAAAAATTTTTGAGTACTTTCAGGAAACTGAACGTGGAGGAATTTTGGGTGGAGTAAGAGGCGTTTATGACGGTATTTGTTATTCTTTGTGAGAAAAAAATGTGCTTTTCCTTTATATTATTTTTGTGAGTTATTGACTTTTTATATTAGGTCGAAAGAATGTTTATACAATTAGAGAATACCCGTTTGGAGATTATGTAGCCGTTGATGTAAGCACCTTATTATATCTATTATTAAGATATTCAGTTTAAATAGGTTAACTGATCAACATGTAAATTTATAGGTATCTTTTCCGGATGATGCGAATCGTCCTACGCGTCAATTTAGAATAAAGTTAAAAAAAGTGGCCGAAAAAAACTTGGAAGAGTTGCTAAGATTTGTCGAAGGCACGAGTTCGCATAATAACGTTCAAACCGGTAACTACCGCCACCACTACCACAAGAGAAAACACTTTTATTTCTTCTGATGGAGAAAGCTTATTGTAGTGTTCCTTCTATTTGCTTTGACTGATCATATCGTACTTTATTTGTAGGAATTTCTGCGCTTGAGGTTTTGATTAACCAAGTTCCAGCTTTGAATTTTACGACTCTTGGACGTCGTGCATTTTTCACTCGTGAGGGATCTGTACCTATATCTGGTGGATTGGAAGTGTGGCAAGGATATTGGCAATCTTTACGTCCCGGTCAAGGTAAGATATTAGTATACATATGCATAAATTTATATTCTATTGATTATGGCACTTCTAATATATACTTTAATCTTATTAGGTCGTTATTATATAAATTTTGATACGGTTGCGACAGCCTTTTATCAACCAGGTTAAATTATATATATTTCTATGATTAAAAAGTGATATGCTTCACAATAGCATTTAATCTAATGAATAATTTTAAAAAATTAACAGGAAATCTTGTAGAAATTTTCGCTAAAATTCTCGGTCAAAGGGTTGAGGACTTTCGTTATCGTATATCCGAACCGAGTCGGTTAAGGATAGAAAAATTGCTAAAAAAGCTTAAATTTAGAGTTTCGCATCGAGGGGAAGATTTCTCTCCTAAATATAAAATACAAAAACTTTCAGAAAAACCCGCTAATGAACAAACTTTTGATAGAGGCAAGTAATCAAAGATTCTTTTTCTTTCTGTCCCATATCTTATGTAAATATTAAACATGATATTTTTTGCATTATTATTCAAAGGCGAGAATAGTGAAAACCCAACGAATGTGACTATATTCCAATATTTTATACAACAATATAATCGAAAATTAGAATACCCGTTGTTACCGTGTATTCAAACGCCAAGTGGAGCATATTTTCCTGCAGAGTTGTGTGTCCTTGAAGAGGTATGATGACTCTCGAATGACTTTTATTTTACTATTAAAATAGCCACGTAATATTTATTATTATGTTGTCCGATATTAGGGACAAAAATATGACAGGAAGTTAACTGATGACCAAACGGCAGATATGATAAAATTCACTTGTCAAAGTGAGTGAATTAATTAGTTATTGATAATGTTTTAGACAAGACATACTAAATAACTTTACTTATGCGTCGATTGTTTTAAAAGAACCATCTATTCGTCAAAGCAGGATTCAAAGCGGTCTTAATGCATTAGAATATGCTCAGAATGAACCTTGTAAGCAATGGGGTCTTCGTGTCTCGAAAAAAATGGTCCAAGTAGAAGCTCGTGTTCTTCCAGCTCCTAAATTAGCTTATCATCCGGTATTGTTTATATTATTGTTCAAATTTAAAAGTTATGAATTAGCAATTTAATTTAATAAATGATTTGGGATTTTCACGCATAGTCAAGCAGAGAAGCAAATTTTACACCTCAATTTGGAGCTTGGCAACTTGGTCCTGGTAAAAAGGCAAGACATTTATTCGATTAATATGACTTGTTTGATATTTTTAAATATTAGTTCATAATTACGTATTTGAAAATATTAGATGTTTGTTGGTGCCACCTTGGAAGTTTGGTCAATATCAATCTTTGCGAAAAAACATGAAATAAGAATTCAAGCAGTAGAAGAATTTCTTCGAGAGTTAGTTAGCACTCTTTCAGAGAATGGTAATCAATATTCTTCGTTTCTTATAATTCATATTAATTTTTTGTTTCTCGCATGGTATTGTGATCATTGTTAATTGTTTGTTTACATCTTTGTAATGTAATTATTAATCAATGTAGGCATGAATGTTGCTAATCCTAACCCCGAAATATTATATGCAACTGCAAATATTCAGGATTCAATTCGTATAGCGTATCAAACCGCAGGAAATCAATTGAAAAAACAGCCGCAGTTGATTATTTGTATTTTACCGTCAAAGACGCCAATTTATGATGAAATTAAAAGAATTGAAGATACAGTTTCGGGTGTACTGACTTCAGTAAGTAAATAAATTCTTTACACTCAGCTATATATCGGTAATTGAGTAACATTGATTATTTAGTATTCTTCTTTGATTTCTCTTGCTTTATTTAGTGTGCCATAATATCACGTAAAAAACGAAACAAGCAATATTACGGTATGTTGGGACTAAAGATCAATAACAAACTCCGAGGAATTAACGTGTCGTTGCAACCAGGATACCTTCGTTTCTTTGAAGAAGCTCCGGTATTTAGTATTTCTTTTGATCTTGAAATATTCCTCGACTTGCATTTTAATAAACCTGTTATTATTTGTAGACTATTGTGTTTGGTGCTGATGTTACTCATCCCGGCCGTTGTACGTATTTTGATTTATTCGAGAATGATCTTTACAATATCTTTCTTTGACAAATTAATTATTCTTTTCTCAGACGAAAAACAACCTAGTATTGCAGCAGTTGTTGCATCTTCTGGTTTAATGCCCACTAGATATGCCACTTCTATCAAATTCCAAGCTCCACGAGCTGAAATAATAGCAGAACTTCAACAGATGGTACAAGAACTACTTAAGATATACTATAAAGAAACAAAGAAAAAACCTGAACGTATACTATTCTATCGTGATGGTGTTAGCGAAGGGCAATTTGAAGACGTTAAAAAATATGAAGTGGAAGCAATTCGTAAAGCTTGTTCTACCCTGGAAAAAAATTATAAACCTAAGATTACCTTTATTATTGCGCAGAAACGTCATCATGCTCGGTGAGATTTTAATGTGTAAGATTCTGTAGATAACGAATTCATTAGAATTATTTTATTCGGTTGATTAGATTCTTCCCATTGAACTCTAATGACGCGGATAGATCACAAAATTGTCTTCCAGGTATATGTATATACATGCAAATCTCAATAGAGTTATGACAAAATTTATTAAATTTGCTGATTGTATAAATTTTAGGCACAGTCGTCGAAAAATCTATAACTCATCCTATCGAATTCGATTTTTGTAAGTTAAATCAACCCTCTAATTTTTTGACAATGTTAAGTATTAAAAATCAATGTTATTACACTATTATAGATTTACAATCACATCCCGGATTACAAGGGACATCTCGTCCCACACATTATCATATTTTGGAAGATGGTTTGTAATTCTTTTTTTTATCATTTGCAATTTCCAATCTTGATTTTGGTTTTGGCATTCAACTAAATGAGCAAAAACTACTAGATTCCAGATTTACTCCAGATAGTTTACAAACCTTGACGTACAATCTATGTTACTTGTATGCGCGATGTCCTCGCGCTGTGTCTATGGTGCCACCTGCGTATTACGCTCATTTGGCAGCTTTTCGTGCTCGGTAAAAATTAATCAAATTTGTATTTGTATTTTTCTTGCAAAATTATATTAATGTTTTATAAATTATGTAGGAGTTGGATAAAATTGATAAATTCGGAAAGCAACAGTAATTATAGTGACGAAATTTCATTAGATGATTATCCCAAATTGAAACCGGAATTGCAAAAAATAATGTTTTACATTTAGCCTTTAGCTTCGTTTTTTAAGAACATGTTACCGGTCATCAAACAAATGATATTTATACACGTATTTATAATAAACAAACCGTATTTATAAAACAAAAAAAAATTCGCTATATCAAGATTTATAACGAATTACCAGTTTTGACTGCATTTAATAAAAATAGCCTCATTTATGACCAAAACCAAGAAATATATTTGTAGTTGTTAGATCACCAGACATTTCCGACATCCCATTATAATATATTATAATATTGGAGTTTCGGTTAGGGTTAGGGTTAGTTTTAAGGTTAAGATTATTGTATAGCATATTGCAGACGGGGGCGTAGTATACAGTAAAATTTCGCAAGGAACATTTTTCGTTAGAACACAAATGGTTGTTTCACAAGAATAAGCATTACATATTGATCTTGCGATGTGATTGGTGGACTACCCCAGCGTGACCTACAAAGATGCACCAATCAGAATAGATTAATTTATTAGCCAATCAATCATCACCCCGTT